CACAGCGGGGGGCGCCGAGCGCGCGCGGAGACAGCCAAGGTGTTTTGCATGACATACGACGCCGTTTGTTGGTTCCGTTCGCTCGCCTCGCGACGCCGCCCCCTCCCTTACCCTCTGCGTCGCCACGCTCGCTTGCCGAGGGAATCCGAACATACACAAGAACACGCGGCACGACAAAAGGCTTGCGCCCTTATAGAGTCGAATGTCCCGCCACCTCTACAGCCGCGCACGTGCGAGCGCACAGCCGGGGGTGGAGGGAGGGAGGGGCGCTCTTGTTCCTGCCGGCCCGGCCCCCCCGGCCCACCGAGCCGCCCCGAACACAACGACGCGCACACAAACAACGCGAAATAGGGTTCAAGAGTGGCGAGCGAAATGGCAGCCAGTACACTGGGGCGCGGGCGGCGGCGGCGCCCCTCGCCTCCCAGCTCGCAGCACACCGGCACACCAGCACACCAGCACACCGAATGGGACTGGAAACCGGAAATCAAAAAGAACATCACGATTTGCTGTTAACCATGGTTAACATCAAAATAAGTGAGTTTTGTTCTCTTCCTCTGACCTCTCCCTCAGCCTCATCAATGCGCCAAAAATGCGTCTTCGAAGGCGCGGCTCTGCTACCTGGGCCTTTTTTTTTTTTTTTTTGCGGTTGTCCGCTACCCTGTGCCTTCTTGTCGACCTCCTCGCTCCAGAGAGAGTGAGAAGGTCCCCGCGCAAACACATCGCGGTCTTCCTCATCATTCGACAGAACTAACGACCCTTTGCCTCCCTCCCTACCCGTTCCCATGAGCGTTGGAGGGGCTCCCTCCTTACCCGCCGCCCCTATCCCCATGTTTATCTCTACCCCCTCCAGCCCGCCACCCCTGGCCTGCCTGCCCTGCCCGGCCTCATAAACTGCAACATTCGTCATTTTTTTCACGTCCCGAAAGTTTTCGGTCGCCGACAGACAGCGGCGGGGCTGCGCCGACCCCCTGCAATCAGCCGAGTGTATTCATATCAGCGAAAAGTTTTGGCAGCCGAGGAGGGGAAGAGAGTGTGTGGAGTGATGTACAAACACCACTTGAGGCGTGGGGCGGGCGGCGTGCGGCCCCTAACCCCTTGAGGCCGCCGCGCCGGCCCCCCTGAGCCAGGCCGGAGTGCGGTGAGCCGCGAGTCACCTGGGATGGAGGCACGACCTCACCCCGGTGTGCCCAAACACGACACGATCTAAACGCACTCGAGAACAACTATATAGTCGTACACATTCCCTACAGTCAGCCCGAGATCAGTCAAGCTAAAGTCTTATACCATACCGTAAACGGGGGCTGACCGTGCGGGACTACGAAGGGGTCTCCGGCAGGTACCCTGCAGCTGTCTGCGGCGGCGGCAGCGGTCAGCCCGCCAGCAGCGCCGTTCATTAAGAAAATTAATTATTCCTGTGTACCTGTCACCCCTCCTCGCCACCTCACCCCCCCCCCCTTTCGGCACGCTCTGCTCTACACCCTAGAATTCCGTCTGTCTTCTTGTCTTTACCGGAACTGGGACACAATTATTTCAGAGGAAATTCGAGGCACTCTCCTCCCCCCCCCTCCCTCTCCCACTCGTTTCTTTTTAATGAAAGCCAACACACCTCACTCCCGTTTGTTGCGTACTACTTCTGTTCAGTTGCGAGCGACAGGAATAGAACACTGCCACTCCAGGATCCCCACACGCTCCCAGGGGAGGTGCGAGGAGGGTGACACAATCGCCATCTGTGACTCTGAATTGAACTGCGCTTGGCGATCACTTCCTATTATTTGCGGTTTTTGTCACAATTTCCTTAAAACAGTGAGTGCACATTGTGTGGTGTGGTCACGCTCCCATCATGTTGAATTATAGGCACCGAAAATGGCCAGTACTCAACCCGTTAAAGATGCAACAATAACCAAGTCACTGACGGAGACGCCCCTTGCCGACACTAACCGGCTCTAACCGGCCGTATCGGACGAACATCATGGGACACCGGGCATGCAGCATTGGATGCCGAGCTCAGCGCCTCTACCGGTATATAAAAGCGCATTGCGATAACAAAAGTGCATTTCCGCATGGGGACTTGACTGATCAAGACTTTCCCTACCAGGCCTAAGGCAACGGCGAGATCAAGATGGGAGACGATAGACTGCAGCGTGCCCGTGAGTCTGCTTTCAGAACTAAGAAATCCGCACCTGGAAAAAAGATTAGTTGTTAGAGCGAATACATTGTCTTACTGAAATTTTAGTACTTTTAGGCTGAAGATTTTTTAAAATAGACCGCGGGTAGCTGAAAATGCGCGTATGAAAATGCATTGAAATGCATTAAAATTAAAAAGTGACGCAGTAGCAGTCGTTCTGGGTGTCTGAATTCAAGCAGAGAACAGGTTACCATGTAAATGTTGCCGCCTTTGGTTCACTCTCATCCTGTTACTGATTTTTTTCACCTTTTGTCAGTATTCCTGCTGCGCAAAAACCTTTATAAGCCACTGACAACTGCTTTCATCAGTAATACAAAACAATTTCTTTTATAATTACTGACAGTTTTTACTTTTATCAGTGAGCTACTTACAACGATATCCAGAATAAGTAACAACACTGTGAAAAATTGTCGTAAGTTTACAGGAAAATTTTCCATGATGTGAGTCCGTAAAATTACAACTTGAAATTGTAAAATTACAATCGCCTCCTATCGACTTGGAATTGATCGAGGAGCAAAAGTGGTCCGCCGTAAATTTACAACATTATTTTTTAATTCAAAATTACAAGAAAAGTCGTAATTTTACGAGGAAATTTTTCACAGTGAAATTAGTCAGTAATCCTGCTGCATAAAAACCTTTATAAGCTACTAATAAATAAATCAGTACAGGTCTGAGAGTGTTGGGATCGGACCATCCTGAGGCTGGCAGGGGTCCGTAACTTAACGCATTTTTACAGTTATGCGTTAGTAACGTAAATACTAAGCACGGGGAAAAAAGATTTGCGCGCGAACAATACCTACTGAAATTTCAGATATTTTTTACAGTGAATTCTTCATCTAGTGACAAGGGACTTCCTCGTTTTGGTCTGAGTGTCTCTTAGACGAAATAATATTGTGTTATCTCTCTCTTTCTAGGCGAACGGGATGAAGGTAATTCCCGGGTAAAACGGGTAGGCAAACCCGCAACACTTGGGTGTATTACAGACGGCACACCCACTCGCCTCCCTACCAGTTACAACACTTTTACAGCCGCGGCATTAGATCTGCATCACACGCATTAAATGTGTATATTTTAAGGACTTGTAGTATGAGCTTTTAGAGCTTTTATTTCTTTTTGATAAGTATTACCACACGGGCCCTAATGGGGTCAGTGCACCGTCAAATTGCAGTTTTTCGGATCCACCTTCCTTTTATCGACCTATTAAAGATATAAAACATATTTAGATGGGACTTATGCTTATTTCAATTGAAAGACACATTTGTGCTATATTTCAGCAAATAACACAGGTGCAAAGATTTTCAAAGATTCAGTTCATGGTGTTATGAAATTTCCGAAACTGGTAGTAAAATTCATTGCTACTAAAGAATTTCAAAGGCTGAGCAACATAAAACAGCTTTCGACTCTCTATATGGTCTTTCCTGCGGCAGCTCACAACCGCTTCGAGCACAGTCTAGGGTAAGTATTGGATTATTCTTATGAAAATGAGAATGTTGTCCTATCAAATCTAGTTGCTGTTTTTTTTTCAAGTGTGTGTCACTTGGCAGGAGAACTTCTCACTCACCTTCAACAAAATTCACCCGGCGTTTGGAACTGGATTTTTGATTCAGAATCTGAGTTAGTATTAAACGCCAAGTAATGTTTCTTCTGTATTATCTCTGTTTATTGATCTTTTTATTTTAAGAGGGGAAAGAGTGAAACTTGCCGTGCAACTAGCAGGCCTCCTTCACGATCTTGGCCACGGGCCATTTTCTCATACATGGGAAAAATTTGTTCATTCCCGTGGAGAAAAGTGGGATGTAAGTATAAGGTGTTTGATTGTTATATACGGATGAGTATACCCCTAGAGCTAGGTCGGACCCGAGCTAGCTCCGTTTAGTCGGGGCTAGTCGGAGTTCTACTCCCCTCGCCCTCGCCCCCACTCCCGCCCTGTCAACAGGGAGGGGAGAAGCGTGGGGAATGGAACCCTGAGTAGCCTGACTAATCAGAGCTAGCTGAGTACCTTGGTGCAGACAGGCTAGCTGCGGACTGTGATAGCCTTGAAATTATTCTTTGAAAACTAGCATGAAGACTCAGCAGGTGACCTCCTCGATCTAATTATATGGGGAGACAGCAATAAGACGCAACTAACAGAAGTTGGTGAAGCATTCGAAAAGGAGTTCCTGGACGTGGACAAGTATCTCCAGTTGATAAAACACTTAATAGAAGGAAAACGGGGATTAGACCTCGTCAATAAAGATTATGGCCTAGAGAAGAAAAGAGCCTTCATTTACCAGGTAAAGTTAGAAGATGCCGGAGGAACTATTGATGAAAATGTAACTAATTAATTTTATCTTCTGCAGGTTGTGGCAAATAAAGTTAATGATGTAGATGTTGATAAATTTGACTACTTTTTAAGGGATGCGCAGCATCTCAACATGGGCATTGCGTTTGACTACCAGAGGTTGATGAACCATTGTAGAATTGAGATTAAGAATGATACCACAAGCTTCATAGCTTTTAGGGATTGTGAAGCGTATAATTTACAGGCGTTATTCAGAACCAGGGCTGACATACACATTCGTGCATGTCAGCATAGAGTTCACGTATGCCTTGAGAAAATGTGAGTTTTCAGTTACCCACCACCCAGTGAGAAATGCAATATCGATACGATATCGTTTCGACATCGCATGTCGAAATGTATCGAAATCAGGTTCTTCGAATAAATCGATTTTCCCTTGACAGGCTTATTGATGCAATGACATTGGCTGACAAGAGCGACTTTAAAGTTGGGTAAGTTCACAAACAAAAAACCTTCAAAAAGAAAAAATA